TTTCCCTTATTTCTATAAGCAACTTTTATTTCTCCTCAACTTAACTGAAACAGTTCCACTTGCTCTTCACTTCCAACCTTCTGTAAAGTTCTAACTCATGTGACGAGTTATAATAAACATAGGTTGTTTTACTGTCTTCAAGTCATTTTCTAAGTACCCTCATTTCTGAAGCCCACCACATCTATTTTATTTCTGCTTCTCCCACTGTGTCACTGATTTATTTTAAAACATCACCCCTTGCTCTTGTTCTCACTGAATCAAACAGGTAGGGATCCAAACAATTGTTTAAAAAGTATAACCTCTATTTTTCCACTTCTTCATCCTCATTTTCCTCCAGCCCAACCCAACCATCCATTTTACTCCAACAACTCAAACATGTAGCATTCTGGAGAGCAAATTTTCATGATGCCTATGGTTTGGTTTAGACAACTGACAGTCTTATAAGGAAGATGAGAGCTTAATAAATATACAATAAATATTCAGGTTGTGGTAGGTTCTACAAAGCAAAAGAATGGCATATTAGCATAGGATGGAGAACCTACTTTAATCTGAGAAGTTTGACCAGGAAGGTTTGTTGAGGTAGACCACTTAGGTGATAAAGGAAAAGTAGTTTGTAAGAAAATCTGACTGGATTGGTGGAGTGCTAGAGGCAGCAGTCCAGAACTTCGAAAAGTGCCGTCTATTGTACTTTGAAAATTACACTTTTTTGTATTTAGTACAAGGCCTACTGGGTCTCACTATACAGATCAGACTCATAGTGATCCTCCTGTTTTCCCAAGCACTGGATTACAAGTGAGTGCCATCAAATCCAGTCTCAGTTGTCATCTCAGTATGCCCCAGGGGCGTGGCCAGCATGGCATCCTGGGGACTGAACCCCCGGCCCTGTGTCTAAGCAGGCTCTTTAATCCACTCATCTGTTTGACCAGCCCTCAAAGGTCATATTCTGCCATTTACTACTGTGATTTTTTTTCCCCCAAACATCAACTATCAAGCTTTGCCAAATTAAATGACTCAAGCACCCTACAAAACTGCTTCCTATCACTTATTTGATAATATTTCTTAAAAATCAAGTTCATGAAGAAATTGTTTTCAAGGAGTCTGCCAAAAATGTATACACACTTCAGGAAAAGAAAAAAATAATATGATTTTTTAAATAAATGGTTGACCTCAGATGATGTTGTATATCACAGAAAACATACGACACTGCATGCCCTTAGTGAAGAAACTGAAAATGCACGTGCAGCAATCTCAATCACCACGGCTCCCCAAGCAGCAGTTCATTCTAATAAATGCCTGAAGCTGAGGGCCACCACTTTGAGCACTTCTTGTAACTGTAGAGGTCAAAGGTAACTAGCATTAATCTCATGTCTCAATACATTTAATGATAAAATTTTTAAACAAATTTTTCTGAAGTGTATTTTTTTAGCAGACTACTCCATATAAAGATGCCACCTTGTCAAGTAAGTTTATGATTTATAAACATGTATATAATTTAACATGTATAACATGTTAATAGAAGAGAACAGACATCATTAATTTTACTTTTAAAACAGTTACTATTACATAGACTCAACAACAGAAACACCATCATTCTGGTATTATTGATATAGCTGACAAGTCATTAACCTCTGAATCTATAAATCCCGCACACTTCGCAATCCTAAGTCTTCCTAAAGGCTTCATCATCACCACACTGTCTTGTGTCTTCAACTTCTTCTTTTAGTTTCTGGAACAGATTCTGCATCCACACTCAATGGCTTCACAACCTCTTCCCGCCCAACAAATAAATGTGTTCCTACAGTGTGTTCTCAGGACAGCATTCTTCCTCTTCACTCTCTGATTTTATTCTTTATTTCTACAAAACAGCACATCATCCATTCTTTCTCAGTTGATATTTTACTTGAGACAGATGTATTATAACTATCCATTGGATGTCTCTTCATTTCCTATTCCAAACAATAAACTGTAAATACTGAGACTGTGTTTTACTGAGTTTTGAACTGATAATGAATGCTTCTGGTGGTTACTAAACCTAGAGATACTCAACATGTATTTATTGAGTGGCTGCACTTCAAATGTGTATTTCTTACTGCCTTTTAAGTATCCCCTCACAGACACTCCCCTAAAATCAAATTTAATGTTCATAGTAATAAAAATACCATCCTCCCGAAAATGTCCTCCTTGCTCTGAACACCTTTTCAGGATAGGGTTCCCTCTGCTCTAAAGATACGGACTCAGCAATGCAGCCATTGTGGCTTCTCATCCTTTTTCTTGCATCCAAAAATAGCTAAATTCTAGGTGCTTCAAAAAATTCTCGGTACTCAACCATTCAGTGCCTCTCAGTTTTATGCCCTTTCATTCTCACAATAATATTCTAGTTCCAGGGACAGCACACAGCACTAGGTGTCCAGCAGGATTTCTCTCCCTGTGTGTTAATTATTCAATTTCCCCACTGATGATCTTCTGTTTCAATTTGTTTCATCTCCTTACTTTTCTTCTATGCACAAAATCTATTTATTTTATGAGCAGAATATATTGAGGGAATGAAAGCTCCTATCTGAGAGAGGGACAGAAGGGGGGCCCGAGTGAGTTGCCCCCAGACACAAAATTTAATGTTTATGAAATTAACTCATTTTTATAAATTGTGTTTTACAATCTTATTTTATTAAGAAAAATTCTGAATAGTTCCATCATGAAATTTTTTTCTACTATTAACAATTTTCTCTCAGATTCTAGAACTATAGTTAATGTTAAATTATTTAGATCAGTTGGCATTCTTAGTCCTTTTCTTTCTCATTTAAAAATTGGTTTTAACCATGGACAGATATGTAGGTCCTGATAATTAAGGATAGAGTTCTCTCACAAACACCTTCAGTTCTGCTTTTCAACAGCTATATAATAATTTCCAAATGATAGTATAAAATGGAAACTTCTATTATTAATGGAAAT